CTGTCATCTACCTCAGGGCCTTGCTGGAACCTACAGTTGACTTTGGGTCCCCTCTGGTCTCTAGTCCGCCTGGGCCAGGGTTCTGGTGTCTTTGGAGAAGTACTGAGCTCCGCTGTGCTGGTTGGCTGGGCTTGGGCTCAGCAATGAGGCTCTGGAACCGTGGCCCCGTGGCCCCGTGGCCTTCAGGCCTGACCCAGCATCCAGTGAGGGCTGCCAGCGCAATAAATCTCCCTGAGAAGTCAGCGCTGAATACTGACCTCAGGGCACAGGCGTCCTCAGGCCATCAGTGTGGCCTGGGCCTCCTTTATGCCTTTTAGCAATATGGACCCTCAGCAATCCTTCCTCACGTTGCTCCTCTGCTCATGAGTGTCATCAGGTACCCCCTTGCTGTTAAGACCAAATCTGGCTCCAAGTAGAAATTCAAGGAGCATTGCAGCCTCCCTGTCTGACCTTGACTCCCACCACTCCAAGCATACCAGTTTCCTCCGGTTTGGGGGACCCCCTTCCTGGAGTCAGCCTGCATTGTGCCCTCTGTCTGAGATCCCATGTCGCTTCTTATTTATTTATTTATTTATTTATTTATTTTCTGTTTAAGCTCCGGCTTGAGGTCCTTAATGATCCAACTCAAACAAACCAAAGCATGGAAGCACCTAGTCCTCCAGAGCCTCTAGCTTGCTCATTCAAAGTGCAGATGGGGAGGCGGGGTGTGGTTCTGGTAGCAGTTCGAGTGCCAGTCCTATGCCTATATTGACTCCTGGTGTCGGGGTTCTGTACACAGTTTGCTCGTTTCTGCAGGTGACAAGAGTAATGGTAAGCATGGCTTATGAACTGCTCATTGGCACCGTGTCCACGCTGCCCACTCTGTATACAGCACCCATCTAATCACTATGGCGTGCCTCTGATGCCTGTGCTTCTGCCTCTATAGACAAAGACAGTTAAGGCCAGAGAGATGAAATGTCTCCACCACAAACACAGAGCTGGCTGTATGGAAGCCCAGCTTCACCTTCAGCGCCGATACTCTCAAGCTGGCCCTCTGTCCCAGGCTGGGAATCACTGTACCTGTGCCAGGAACCTGCAGAGCGGGCACCTGGCTCCGCCCAGCTCTGCTCTGTCCCACCTAACTGCTGCTGCTTACTCTCCTAAGCAAAAATGGTGGAAAGGTGGGAGAAAAGGCCCCCAAAGGCTTATTTACCCTTTCAGGAGACTGTAAATCACCCAACCATCCAAGCAAAGGAGGGCAGAAAACAGAGCCACCCACAGCTGAGAAAGACTGCAAGGACAGAGTGGAAAGGGGATGGGCTCTTCTCTGGCAGGGGGCATGCTGGTTCAAGGTCCAGGGAGCAGATAGAAATTTGAGCCAGGCCTTGAGGGCTGGAAGAGGAGGGCATCCAGGAGCAGGTGTAACCGAATCTAGGATAGCACGAAAGTAGGTCTGCGATGCTGGACATGCATGACATGGCGGGTGATTTGGCTGCGAAGGGCAAGAGAGGTCAGATGATACAGGGCTGTGGAGCCAGCGTAAGGCATCCGACCTTTGATGGAATGCAATAGGGAGTCAGGGAATGTGTGGAAGCAAGGGCGAGTCTCCCTCTTCACAGCCGTAGCTGGGCTGTTCCATGCGGCCTGACAGGCTGGTCTATCTTTCTTCTGTGTGCCTGGGGCTGCAGACACCTCCAGCCGGGGCTTGAGGCTCTTACAGCTAAATTTCCTCTGGAAAAAATGGGCAGATGGTTCAACCTCTCCGGGCCTCAGCGTCCTGTCAAGTGAGGACAATAACCCTCAGCACCCCTCCACCTCCCTCAGGAAATGCTATGCTTAGCTCCACACCACTCGCTGCTCAAACACCTCTGTCACATACATACAAGCTTCACCCTTGTGGGAGTTTTCACACTTTCCCCCCGCCAGGTCACTCTCCTGTTGCCGTGTTACCGAGTGAGATGTAGCTGATCGCTACTTTGCTAATGAGGACACCGATCGAATACCTGTGATGTGCCAGGGGGCCCTGTAACCACTTGCCCATCTTACCCACAGTGCCAACCACAGGGGTTATCATTACAGAGGGTCAGAGACAGACAGCGACTTGTTCAAGTCTGCACAACCAAAACCTGGCAGAAGATGAGTGTGGACCCAGGTCGGTTTGTACTTCAGAGTCTGAGATTTAGGATACGTGTGGTCGGCAGACTGGTCCCTCCCGGGGCTCTTTTGAGGACCAGACGGGATAAAGGCTGCAAGTGCAATCTTATCTCCTACCTTCGTGTGGAGAGAAAGAGCAGATACCTAGGGAGGACTGCAGGGTGCTCAAGTCACAACTAAGCATTAGCAGGCCAGTGCTCAGGGCCCCCAGGACAGCTGTCTGCCCTTGGCCCCCCTCCACAGGTACTTTCCTGATAGAATGGAAACTCCCATAGCCAGGCAGGGAGAGCAAAGGCCTGGATTTCTGCACTGGCGTGCAAACCAGTCCCTAGGGCTGGAGGCTAGAATCCGGTTCTAGAACCCGGTTCCTCCAGCTTCTTCTGGCCACTCTAGGCCATGAGCACCTTGCTCCCCTCCGATCCCATCAACCGCCTAGAGGTACCAGTGAGGTCCGACGTGGCTGCTGCAGTGGACATCCAGAGAGCTAGGGAAGGCGAGAGTGGGAGGAAGCGGGCCACTGTCCCTGCTGCCCAAGCTCACAACCCTTCCTCGCCATCAAAATCCACAGCGCCCTCTTCTCCACCCCCTACCCGCCAGTCACCCATGGCCTCCAGAGGCTGTCCTGGAGCAGGAAGGGCAGAGAGGGGACACAGCAAAAGCAGCATCGGCTGTGCAGAGAGAAGTGAATGGTGACACCGCGCAGACGGCACCATGCCACCGCCTGCCCTCCCCCAACCGCCTCTGACCGCTGCTGTCTGATCTGGAGCAACACTTGCTCCCTTGTCAGAAGCCCTGATCCCCCAGAGTATCCTTTCGTGGGCCCACGGTTGCTCCCCACCCACACCATGAGCTGGCTCTGAGTGTTGAGCGATGGCTATCCTCCTCAGCAGAAATGCTAGTGGAGGCAGCCCGTCCCAAGCAGCTCAGGGACAGGCTCCTCTCCCTCGTGTGCCACACAGGTGAGGGAGTCACTTGTAGACCCCCGTCTCTAGGACCCGAGGGAGCTAACTAGAGGCTCTCCATGTCTGAGGCCTGTGCAACCATGATTCTGGGCCTGGGGGCTACTCCCCCCCCCCCCAACGGCTATCCCACGCGGCCACACCGCTTTGTCTGCTGTTCCCTTCCCAGAGAGGCCCCTCGATGCCAGCCAGGCATGAAGCCTCATTTTATTCTGCCCGGAGGGGCCTGGGCAGTTTCACAGGAAAGAATTCACAGGCAAGTAAAGGTGACCTTTCAATGGTAAAAACGTTTTTATTTATTTCGGCCCTTGGTGCTGGCTCTGCTCGATGTCCGCTGTGGGTCACAGACGTCCCTTCCTGGGCCAGCAGAATGCAGCAGCCTGCCACATCCCACCTCCCCCATGGCTGGGGCATGATCGGGGATGCCTGGTCTGTGATGCCCCAGCAGAGAGGAGGTGCCTGGTGGAGGCGTCTTTCCGGAAGAGGTAGAAATGCCCCAGAAAGGGAGAGAGTTGCGGTGTATCCTTCTCACTCTGCACCAGTGGTATCTCCTTCCCCTGCCGGGGACCCCCGACCTTCTCCCAGGGCCCTCCTCTTAGAGATCTCAGGACAGCTCTAAGTGTGTGGGCCTGGCTGGAGGAGGTTGCAGGACCCTCCTTTCTATGGCTCCCTCCATCCTGGGCTGAGAGCAGAGGGCTGGAAGATCTGCAGCCCGGAGTGACTCTCTGTTCTGTCCCCAAGCTTACAGCACAGCAAGCTCAGGAGATTGGGAGGCCTTTGGGAGGTCAAGGACCAATGTCTCTTTTCTAAGCTGAGTGCCCGGCACACAGCAGATGTCCAGTAAATGCCAAGGGCATCAAGAGGGATCAATCCAGCAGTGGGGTTTTGTCCGCTCTAAGCCAGTACAAGTGTGTTCTGTGAAGTGCTGCTGGCTCCTTCCGGTAGCTTTCTGCCTGGTTTTGTGCCTGTCTAGAAGCCATTTAGAAAAGTGGGTGCCGGAGACAGAGTCCATACTTGTCAAAATTGGAGAGGGTGACATTATCTGCCAAGGTTCCAAGATCTTCTGAGATCTGCACATAGCCAGGGTCCCCTGGAAACTATGGTGAATGAGGGCAAGATGAATGAGGGCTGTCCCAGGGCAGTGGCAAGCAACCGGCCACAGAAATGGAGGCACAAGAACAGAGAAAACATTCTCAACTAGGAGTTGGGATGCCAGGAAAGCTGGCAGAAAAAGGTCACTTGGTAGAGGTATAGCAATGAGTGTGAATTCACCCAGCACAAAGAGCCCTGGAAGAAGACAGCTCAAGCAAGGCCGTGGGCATAGACTAGGGGCAACTGCAGGAACAGGAGAGACCACAGAGCTATCCAGAGGTTATGTCAGGTCAGCAGAGGTCAGCCACAGAGGGTCACAGAGCTAAGAAACCTCTCAGCTCAGAGTGGGGTGAGTCAAAGTACCTATCAGAGGACCGAAACTCAGTGGCCATGGGGCCCTGAGAGGCCTCCATGAAGGAATGGGGGCCCTGGGTAGCACCGCAGAATGGCCCAAACAGAGGCCAGCATCAGGAGATGGAAAGGGCTTCCGAGGGTCTCGCTGTAACACGGGGCCTCAGAAAACCCCACTCTACCTGCAGGTCAGCAAAGCAAGCTACAGAGAAGCATGTGGCTCACTGGTACTGGTGTGTGTGTGTGTGTGTGTGTGTGTGTGTGTGTGTGTGTGTGTGTGTGTGTGTGTGTGACTGCTGAATTCCCTCCACCCTTGTGTGGTTCTTTTCATTTCCCAGAATGCTTCAGCTTGCTGCCTCACTTGATCCTCCATACAATCCAGTTTGGGAGGTGGAAAACTGAGCCCTTATGGGGTCGTGTGAAGAGAGCAGCGCTGTCAGGATCGACCCAGGAAGCAGTTTCATCTCAGCCGTGGACATCGGGCTCGAAGCCCAACTCTTTGTCAGGGAGGGGGTCCCCAGGGCTGTCTGGAAGCCCGTAGTACAGGTCTTCCTCCTCCTGCTCCGGTTCCTCTGCAGTCTCCTTCTTCTTCATCGTCAGGGATGGCTGCTGCTTGCTGGGCAGAGCCGCCCCCCGAACCGGCCCCTCCGGGACCCTGTCCTCTGATGTGGGGGCGTCATCAATCAGAGCAAAGTCACTGAAGCGATCCAGTGGCCCTCCGCTGGCCCAGGGCGGCTGCGGCTGCGGCTTCGGCTCATCCCTGTCCGGTGGGGACGGATGAGGGCTGCTGCCGTCGCTGGAGCCCATGTCCAGGTCGTCTTGGAACGAGGCCAAGGGTGCAGGGCCTTGGGAAGACACTGCGGGGCTGCAGAGGCAAAGACCGTGAGTGAAGGGCGGGCTCTGGGTCACACTGTCTGGGTCCAGATCTCTGCCGCTAGCTGCGGGAAGTTCATATCTCTGGGCCTCCTCTTTTCTCCCCTATTTGGAAACTGGGGGCAAAGTGAATCCTCGCGCGCGCGCGGTTGTTTCTGAGATTTACAGCAGGTAAACTGTTCAAAGCACTTCACACACAGCACCCGGCACGGAGTACGTGCTCAAGCAACAGGGCTGCTATTAAAGAAAGAGAGAACAAAGCCAGGTAGCTCATCCACGACTGCAGGCGTTTAGGATTCTCTGGCCCCTCACAATCCCACTTCACACAGTAAGGTCCCTCTGAGTCCTTTTTTATTTTGCTTCCCCTATTGGGCTGGGGACTCCAGGAGACTGGAGGTCAGTCAAAGCCTGGGAAGAAGCTGTTGTCTAGTAATGATGGAACAAGTGTATGAGTGGAGTGATCAGACTGGACTTGAAACTAAGCAGGAATTGGGCTGTGGCAGGGACAAACTTGGCTGAGCTACCGATCAGGTCAGCAGCCCAGCCAGGATTGAAACCCAAGCCCTATGGCTCCCAGCTGGCCAGGCTCCTGCTGCTCACAAGCATTTTGGAAGAACTATGTGCTGGCCACTTAAAGCATTGTCCCAGTGTGATGGAGATGGCTGTTCCCATGAGAGAAACTGCTCAGGGGAGTTCGAAGCCAGCTGGGTGCAGTGGCACACAACTGTAATCCCAGCACTCTGGGAGGCAGAGCCAGGCAGATGTCTGTGAGTTCTAGGCCAGCCTGGTTTACAAAGTGAGTCCAGGACAGCCAGGGCCACGCAGAGAAACTCTGTCTCAAAAAAAAAAAAAAAAAAATTAAAAAGTCCAAAATGTGGCACGCTTATACAGCCAAGGAGCCAAGATTATCACCATGGTCCATTAGAGCCCCAGCCCAGTGCCATCTGCCTATGACCCTCTGCTGCCTGCTCCTCACTTCCAAGTGTCCCGGCACCCTCTCAGCACACAGCCCTCCCTCTGCTCTAGAACTCCCACGCCACCTACTCACCTGCTCTGAGTACGGGATCTTCCTCCCTCGTTCTCATCTGAGCTCCTGTGGACCACCACCGAAGCATCCATCCAGGCCTGAGCAGAACGAGGCTCCCCCTCCCTGCCACTGCTGGTTCCCGTCTTCAGCTCAGGGGCCAGCAGGGGCCTGGGATCCTCACTGTAGCCCATGACCTTCATATGGATGTGAGTGAAATCTGGAAGGCTCTGGTCATAGGCAGCTTCTTCCCACAGCCTGACATAGGGGGGTTGGGGGCTGGGTCCAACAGACAATGGGAGAGGAGTCAGGCAGGCAGACATGAGTTCCCTCATCAAGGCCCCCTGTCTGTCATAGGGGCATGGGCCCATGGATTTCACAAGAGGAATTTCAGGGGCATCTCTTGTACCCACGCCACAGATGATGAGGCCAAGGCCTAACTAAATGAGTAAATTAAGTGGCAGAGCACTAGCCTGACCCCAAGTCAACATAACATCATGTCCCCAAAGGTATCCACAGTAAGTGACAGCAGAGAGGACTCAGCATGCAGGATTGCTGAAGACCCCTCAAGGCAGCAATCACTGTTCTGGGTCCACAGCTCTGATGCTGAGTAGAACGAGCCACAGCTGCTGTAGGTTCCTTGACTGCAAGGCTGGGGAAATGATGGCCTCTACACTCCCTGCAACTTCAGGAGGTTCTGTGGGGAAACTGAGGCAAAGCAACTGAAACTGGCTTGTGCACAGGCCCTGCTTGGTGGATTGGGGCCATAGTGATCTCTTCCCTGCCACTGTGCTTCAGTGACTAGGCCCTTGTCCAAGGTCACACAACTGGGAAGTAACAAGATAAAGGAAGGAGCCCCATATAGCCTGAGCTACATGGGCCCTGAGATAGAGTTTGGGGTGGCTCCGCCCACCAGGGTGTGTCTGTTGTTTCCCACCCGGACCTTTTTTCTGTGTATCAGGAGTGGAAAATACCAGCATTACAAACTACCCTAAGCAAAGCAGCATGGCTCTGAGCCCCCATAGCTCCAGGGCCTGTAGCCTGGCCTTTGGAGCTTGAGAGTCACAGCTCAGGGGATTAGCCAAATCCAAAGCATTCTCAACTGTGCTCCAAACCAGAACCAGGATTGGACATCTCCAGGAGGGAAATAGGCTACAGCCAAGTCAGGCCAGAATCCACACCTGTCTCCCTCACTGACTCCCTGTGACACCTGGGATTTGTGCTTCTCAGTTTCTACATCTGTGAAATGGCAGCAGCAATGCTAATGCATACAACCGAGAGTTTGAAACTACCTGTGATTTATAAGACTATGTCCTCAGAAAACAGGGAGCAAAGAGGAAGCTAGATGGGACAAGACAGAGATACAGACACCTGACCCAGCCACCCTTGTCCTCTCCCTCTTCCCTTACCTCTTCCCTTGCCCCCCTCCTCCCGTTTTTGACAGGAGGCTGGACTGAGGGCCCATTTCTCCCTGTGCTTACCTCTTCACCTCTGAAAGCCCGTTCTCCATCAGGCTCAGGGCCTTTGGGGACAAGATGCCTTGGAAGTCAGAGTCTGCCGGCACGAAGGTGATCTGCAAGAGAAGATACAGTCTCTGCAGCTGAGCAGGGCTGGAGCTTAGCTGTCGCCACACACCCTGGCTGCTGGTCCCAAAGCTTCTGAGAACTTCTCTGTTCATTGTAAGAGAGAAGGAAAACCTGGAAGGACCTCTGTGGCTCAGCCCCAGTGGGTAGACAGGTATCTAGGCTCCTGTCTGCACCATGGTCTTCCTTCCATGGACAATCCCCTGAGAACCTACGGTGAGCAGACACCATTCTGGACACCGGGGGCAGACCCTGGGCACTGTGAGTAACAGAGATGCTCTGCCTGCCTGACGCCCAGGCCCATCATTTCCCAGGAGTCTCTACACAGGGTGCTCAAAGGGTGCTCTTATCTGCACCTGGTGAGTGAGTGCAAAGCCAGTCAGACACAGGACACAGCTGTGGTAGGGAGGCAGAGTCACGGATGTCTGCGGGTGTGCACACAAAGTTCCATCCCCAAACTTTCTAGACCAAGCAGCCTAGTTTCAGGGATGTCCCCTTGGGGTGGGAAGGCAAGCCATGAAGGAAGGAGCCCGGTGAGGCAGAAAGAGCCCTGCCTTTGGGGGCCTGGAGACAGGTGAGTAGCTTTTTGTCACCAGGTCCTTACTGTGGGTCCTGGAAGTCACATCTCTCCTTCCAGAGCCTCTTTGAACTCTTGTGGTAAATGAGAGAAGACTCCAGGAGACACCCGCTCCTCCATGCTCAGAGAAGCACTGTGAACCACAACCAGGAGATGGGTGACAGACAACAAAATACAAGGAACATATCCAGCCGCGTGCCAGTCAGCCTTTGGAAGGAAGTTCCGATGCACGGCACAGCAAAGATAAACACTGAAGGCACAGTGCGGACTGAAATGTTCCAGATGGGGTGGGCAGAGACAAACACTGTGAGACTCCACTTCCCTGGTGTACCAAGATGTGAAAGTCAGAGGGGTAAGGAAGGAGGCTGGTGGCTCCCCAAGGCTAAATAGAGTCATAACGGGGAGCTATCGCACGGTGGGTGTAAACCTGCCCAGTTTGGAGAGAGTTCTGGAAATGCGAATTTACTTAGTGCCTCAGACTGCATGCTACCCGTGGTTAAAGCAGTGTATCCTGTGCTAATATGGCTTGCAGGGTTTTTAATGGCATGTGTCTCAGCGGAGTGGTGAGGACTCCCTAACACAGAGGACTCACACAGAGGACTCTCCCAACATGCTGCCTGGACACACAGCTTCTCAGTAAATCACAACCTGGCCTCTGGACTCACAAGTGTGAGCATCTGTCATACACTGTCTGATGAGCCCCTGATGAATTGCTCGAGATTCGTAAACAGCAACCTTTGTCTCTTCCCACAGAGTAGAGTATGGGAGGCACTGTCGGCAACAGCAAAGCTTCATGATGGTGGAAAGAAGGGGGTGATGGGTAGAGGACCTTTCACACTCCTGAGGAGACACTGCCCAGGTGCCTAAGCATCTTGCGTCTGTACTAAGGATGGTCCATGGCCAGCTGGTTCAATACTTTTTAGGATTTTCCTCTTTTCCTTCACTATATCATGGCCCAGACACCATCACCATCATCACCATTTCCACCATTCCCATCATCCCCATTGCTAGCATCACCATCACTGTCATCGTCACCATTGCTGTCAAGGTCATCATCCTCACCACCACCATCATTATCACTGTCACAACTACCACCATCATCAGTCACTGCCATTAATATCATCGCGGTCACCATCGCCATTGCCATCACCGCCACTTCAATCATGACCACCATCACTGGCACGAGAAGCGTGGAGGAGACAGAGAGGAAGCAGCATTTCAGAACACGGACTTGTTTTTCTAAAGAAAGAGGAAGGACACACAGAATTGATGATAGGGGGTTGGGAAATCAGACCTGGAGACCCCTGAGAACATCAGGCTGAAGATTTTAACATTTATCCACATCCATGGCCATTCCAGAGAAAATTTTCAGCAGCGAGCAAGTGTCCATTGAATTTGGGCTCAGACTGAACACTGACCAGCCCCTGGAGGGAGGAAGCAAAGACAAGGAAGCCCACAAAGAGGACAGGTCCTTCAGTCACCAGGTCCTGGCAGAGCAGACAAAAGTAAGGAGAAGAGGATATGGAGGTGAGGCTGTGCTCTCTCTCCCCTCTCCCTTGCTCCCCTGTTCCGTGTCAACTTTCAGGCTCAGCATCTTCAGTAACCCCCCACCCGAGACACACACACACACACACACACACACACACACACACACATGCACACACACACACTAGACTTGCCCTGGCTCAATTCTCAGTCTTAACCTATGCCTGAGGCCCAGGTGAGTAACCAGATCGAACCAGGTTTGTATTCAAGACCTAACAGAATAGTCATGGTGAAGAGTGGGAGCCCTTTCGCCCTCCTGTTCCAGCTGTGACAGCTCTGACAGCCTGAGTCTCCCCACCACCCTGACCTTCCAGTGCCAGCAACATCATCTCAAGAACAAGGCCTCTGCACCTGCTTCATAGAGGCGTGGTGCCAGGACCCCTCCCATTCCCACAGTGCCCTCTGCTTCCTTGCGCTTGGCCATGTAAGGCACAGCAGGGGCATATCTACCAAGGTCACAGACTTGGCACGGGGCACATAGTCTTGAATTGGGGTCTGAGGGACAGTGGGAGGTGTGGGTTTCCCCTAGCCATACAACCTCCCCACATAGGAACACATGAGCCTTCAACAGTTACTCATTAATACTCAGCCCTGTTTCCCACCATCAGCCATCCTGCTGCTACTCAGTCCCTCCACCAGATGCCCCCTAGGAAGGATGCTGTCTTCTCAACATCCCCCTCCCTCCCTCCGTGGTGACGTGGTGGCTCTGGCCTCAAGGCCCTCTTCTCCCAGTGACCTCTGCTCAGGACATTGAGCACATAGAGGGGAGTTGACTGTAAACTGCTTTGTAAATGGCTCCAAACCAGTTGGGACTGCCCAGGGCTGACATATAAGTCACAGTCCTGGGCTGGCCACAGAGGGGGCAGGGCTGGGAGAGCCTGGGACCTGGCCCCAATCCTTAGAACTCTTTCTGGGTACGCCACCCCAAAGTGGGGAGGGGTGGAGGAGGCTAGAGGAACAGGGCTGTTAGTATCAAGGCTCAGTGAGACCTCGGATACCCATTCCCCTTTCCCATGCCATCCTCCTGACCCACACTGTACAGATGAGGAAACTGAGGCTTGGAGAACAAAGTGGCTCAGTCTCCCAGGCATGTAGAGACAGAGCAAGTTAGACCCCCTGCCCCTCTCCCTATATTCCCGAATCTCTCTCTCTCTAACTCTGACATTGTGACAGTCACTCTACCTCTCCGGACACTGAAGGTTTACCCCACCTGACATGTTCACTCTTCAGGGCTGTGTAAGAATCAGGAAGAGCAACAGCAGCAGCAGCTGTTTAACTAAACACAACACTACGGTTACAAATACACCTGTCGCCATCTTCTACACATCATACCTGGGTTACCACAGGGCTCTGCAGAGCTGAGACTGGGGAGCCATTTTTATAGATGAAAGTACTGTGCCTCAGAAAGAACCAGCACAGCAGAACTCTCAGAAGCCGGAGACATGGGACAGAGCACCCAGGATGGCACGTGTGGCCAGGATGGAGCACCAGGGGCTCCATGCTGCTCTTTAGGGCACACTCCAACCTGAGATCTGTGCTTTTGTTTCCGGGTCTGCAGGAGGAAAGGGAACTGCAGAAAACGCAGAGCACTTGTGATAGGGTCAGGGTGAGCTGCGGGATTCAGGCTTGGCAGGTAGTATATGCTGGCTGACTTCCGCTCAAACACAGGGAGAGTGCATAGATCCCATTGTGTCCCCGTGATGGCCTGACCCAAGGGCCAAATGCAGGGGCTTTCTGATGAGCCACAATGAGAGATGGTAGCAAAAGGATAGTCCCCAGAGCAGAGAGAACACGGGGAGTCCAGATGGAAAGAACACAGCAGTTGGAGGTCAGGGATTAGAGCCTAAGACAGCGAGAGCCGCCTGTCCTCCTGCCCCCCCCCCCACCTCGGCTCCTACCTTAGGATAGCATTGGCACATGCTCCAGATGACGCCCCCGATCACCATGATGCTGCCCATGGCGTAGAAGGTGCCGTAGACCTGGGGTCGGTCGTGGCTCATGAGGAACGTGCCGAGGGATAGCAGGAAAAGGCCCAGTACGATGAAGCCGATACGGAAGGTCTTCTCGTCAGCCATGGTGACTAACCAGTCCCTGGTAGCTGACCAGCACCCCGGCAGAGACCTGCCCACAATCCTACTCAAACACTGAGCGGGCTCTCAGGGAGGGAGGGTACGCTGGGTGGCTGAGAACCAAGGCGTAACACATAAAGCAAGAAACGGTCCCCACAGGCCCAGCTCCCAGCCCTGGGCCCAGCGGTTCTGCAGGGCAGGTGACACGCTTCAGTGGGCCCAAGTACCCAGCCATCTACCTTTCCTCCGGTCGCTCTCCGTCCCTCTGGGCCCAGCTGTTTGGAGCTTGTGAATCTGAACATGGGACAGAGGCAGGGGAGGGCTGGGGGAGGTTACAGGGGCTGGGCCAGCCATGGCTTTGACATCACCTCATTTGCCTACTGTGGAACTGAGCCCAGACAGGCTTTGCACCTCCCAGCTCTGGGAAGCAGGGGTGGGGCCATGGCAGCTTCCAGAACCCACAGCCTGACAGTTTAGACACCTTCTCAAGGACACCTGATCGCCTAGGCTCAACAGAAATACCTGTACCTACTAAACGGTCACCATCCTAGATGTGTCTCCGTTCAGTTCATTTAAGGAGACAGGTGCCAGACTCCCATTTTCCAAAAGAGGACGCAGGTACAGATAAGCAATCTGCCCAAAGTCACAGATAACAGCAGAGCAGCTGGGACTAGAGCCCAGAGGCTGTGGGTCCCCCTAGCCAGCCACAGCATGAAAACAGGGGCAGGCTCTAGCGGCAAATCCATTGATGGTCTTGGATCTGTGTCTCCAGATGCACAGCCCTGCTCACCAGTTGGCTGTGTCATACTTTCCTCCTCTGTAACAGGTGGGAACTGGAGCCACAACCAGAGCTGGCTCCAGGCCTTACCTCCCCGACCCCTTTCATATTCCACATCCAGCCCAGCCCTGCCTGTCATGGGGGCTGGGAATGAACCAGTGTCCCTGCAGATGTGGCTGGCTCACTGATCTACTTCACTTGATCCTGGTCCCCAACCTGGAAAGCCATCTTTATCTTAATCATGATAGTCTAGGGGAGGGTTTCTAGTTCTGAGACGGCTGATGGGGAAAGTCAGATTGCTGCCACTGCAGAGACCCAGAGCCACCAAGGTGTCCAGAGAATGGCAGCTGGAGTTTTCGGGAGACCTGTGCAGTAGCAAGGGGTCTCAATGAACTCCCCAAATCCCTGCATTCAGGGACTTTCCCGTGCACGTCCCCATGCCCCATTCTGTTCCCCCATGTACCTCTCCTAGCATGCCTACCCGTGGGGTCCCTTCCCAGAGAGGGTTCTGCCCTCTCCGTCACCATCACTGTCCCTCAGCTCTGTTCAGCTGCACTTCACAGTTTGTAGAGTGCCCCCAGGAACTGGGAACAGACACCCTGAGAAAACTGCCCAGGTGCCAAGTCTCTGGTCACCTCCAGTCTGATTCCCAGGGTAAACTTAAGCAGTGGACTTAAGTTTTGTCGCCTGTGGATTGCAAATGGCCATTAGTCCATAATGGAGGGAAAGCCATTTGAAATTGTGACTGGCCAGGGACCTCTAGGGAGATATCAGAATCATCCTAAAGAGACTTGGAGACAAGAGAGGCCATGAGTGCAGAGCAACCTAGCTAGTACTCATCCTAAAACAAGGAGTGAGGCCCACCTGGATGTGTTCCTGGGAGCCAGGGCTTAGCATACAAAGGGGGTGAATCTCTGCCTCAGCCACAGAAGCTTCTTGTGCCCCCTGGTGGCTTTGTAGTGTGTTTGGCATGGTGCTGTCACATCCTGCGGGCAATGTGTCTGTTCACCCAGGTCCACGGAAGAAGGCATGGAGGATTTGTCATAGAGGGATGACAGATTCAGTCAAGATCTTCCCAAAAGCTCCAGAGCCCAAGCGAACCATCTAGCCTTTGGTCATTTTGGAGCGGTCTGGGCATTCTCTTCTTTATGGGTCTTTATTTCTTTGCTATAACCCAGTTTCTCTTTGACCCTTTTCTCAAAGTTCCTTTTCCTAAAGCGACGGTAGCAGCAGCGAGTAAAAAAGTCCGAGTTAAGTCGGTGCTCACTAAATGTGTCGGATCGCTGCTGGAGTCCTGTTAACAGTTAAATGGCCGCAGGCAGGCCCCTACCCCAGGACTAGCTGGGGTAACATAAACTAGGAAAGAGGGGGAGGAAAGGAAAAGAGAAAACAGAAAAAAAGAATCTCAAAGTTAGGTGGGAAGGGATGGAAGGGTAGAGAATGGTAATTAAGGGAGGAGTTGGAGAAGGGAGGTTGAATAGATGCAAAATGCATTGTATGAAATTCCCGAAGGATCAATAAAAACATGTTTCAAAAAAGGTAGCTGCCAAGGCAGTTCCCAGTGGCTTGTTGCTGTGTGGGCAGGTGCGTGTGTCTCTCCGCCCCATTACAGGGTTAGGTTTCTCTTTGTAGTGGACCCTGGGCCAGTCAGTGTGCCGAGGGTGAGCAGGCGGAGTGCTCGGCCCTGGAAGGACTGTTTGTCCCATCCCTCCCCCCAGGGCTCGAGGGTCGCAAGGGGATTGTGGGGTCCAGAGTTTATAGATGACACAGGGCAGGGGGGAGGCAGCCCGAGGTTTTCGGGACAAGGTTGGGCAGCTGCACACCTGAGCTGGTGACAATAGTGTTGACTGACATTCACAGGGTCTGCAGTGGCTCTGGCCAGGTAGCGGTCCATGCACGGAGCAGGGAGGGTGTGCGTGAGTTTGGCCACTGGCTAGGGAACTGAGGTGATCCCTGGTGGATCAGCCACCCTTGGGGCGGGCCCCCCTCCCTAACTCCCAGTGGTTGGGCTGGGGACTGGACTCTACAGTTAAAGGAGAAGGGAAGAAAGAAGAGTAGGGCTTGGTGTTGGGCAGATGAGGAAGAGGTAGGAGAGTGATGGATGTGAGGTATGAGAACGGTTGTGTGTGTGAGATCAGGGTGCATCAAGTGAAAGTCTCAATGAATTTACAAAAGCGTTAACAAAAAGGACAAAAAAAGAATTAGGTGGGAATAAGATTCTGCTGACGGCAGTTCCTGCTTTCTCAAGCCTGAGTCCCACTCTGGCTTTGACTGTTTCCCTTACACCACGAGGGAGGAGCTGCAGAGGTGACCTGTCTGGGAGTCAGTGATCTTCCAGCAAAGGGGGTGTTAAATGCTGTCTTCTGGAAGGCATGTCCAACCTGTGCCCAAAAACTGTGAATGCAGCCTCACACAGAAATTGTAAATTTACTTAAAACAGGAGACTTACCCAAGCTTTCTTTAAAAAAACAAAACAAAACAAAACCCTCTGTTATCTCATCCCCGGTGTGAACTTTGTGAATGACAGCACTGTCTTGCAACTCAAAAAGTTGAACATGCTCGAAGGAATTGAGGGTCCTAGGAGTAAGCTGCCCACCAAGATAGTCAAGGCTAGAAAGAACACACTGGGCACAGGCAAAATCTAAGCCTGTATAGTCAAGGCTCGACCTGAGGAGCCAGAGCCTGCCAGTTCACAGGTCAGATTCTAGCCAGGTTCTGGAAGCCTGCGTCTGCTTAGGCTCCTACCATACAGGTTCTCTAAGGGCCGAGGCTTGCTGACAAATGCGGCATCAGGGACGGAGAGATGAGCTGCATCTTCTCCAGAAGGTGTGACACAGGGGCCACCAAGTAACATACACTTGCAGGGATCCTGGAAAAGGTATGGAGAGGCCTGAGTCATTGAAGTCCCTGACTTCTTAGTGCTGGGTGGCCAGTGAAGATGAGTCCAAGTATGGGTACATTGTCTGCAATGTAGCTCAGGGAGGGCAGTGGTCCCATGGCAGGGTTCCCTTGAGTGTCTGGCTCCTCCACAGATCCCTCAGCCACACCACTACAGCTCAGAAGGAGACAGCGCCCCACCTTGGCGAGATTACCATAGCCTTGGCTCATGCTCAGGCTGGTGACCTTGAACAAGTCACTGTCCCTTCCTGAGGCAGATGAAAAGATATGGAGAGACGCAGAAAAGTCCTTTGTGGCCAGCTAGCCCTCCCCACCTGCCTTTCAGCTGCTGCCAAGATAGAACCTGCTCACACCAGCCATTCGCTGACACTGTGTCCTGTGGTAAACACCTCACGTGGGAAACCCCTTAGGAACTACAGAACGTCTGCTATAGGCCCAGCCTACGTCACCACCAGAATGGAGAGACAAGGCCTCTCCAGACTCCTCTGTGGCCTAGGGTAATCTCTGGGAAGAGGGAATGTGACTGCAGGGTAGAGGGGAAGGAATCAGAACCTCTAAAGGAAAGACATGCTCGGAAGTGCGGGGGCCCAGGGTCTGGTTGGGAATGAAGAGCAAGGGGCAGGGAAAAAGTGATAGGAGCCTGAAGTTTAGGGCCACCAAAAGCAGGCCTTCCTCAGCTCAGACTATGCAGGAGCTTTTGCCATTCATAGGGATCTGAGGGCCAGGCCCTACCTGGACTTGGCATCAAGAGGCTTTCAGTGGCTTGAGGCAATGGCAGGAAACAGGCAGAGGGACAAGACAGCCGCCCACAGTGGCCAGCAGAGATGGGGAACCTGCGCCCCGACTGTGCTCTGAGTTCTCACTTTGCATAGGCTGTTTCCCCACATGGGGACGTCCCTCCTGTAAAAATACAGGGCTTCACGGGTGAGGAGGTGACAGGGGCAGAGACCTGGCCTGGCACCAGTTGGCCAGCCTTTGAGCCCCTGCTGCTGTGAGGCCTCAGGGAGAGTCACCGAGTGAGAATGAGACTGACCTGATAGCCTAATGAGACTTTGGTTTAACCTGACCCAGGCCACCTGTTTCTTCTAGGCCCTTGGCCTACACACTGGAGAATGCCTTCCCTGGCTGTCCCTTTCGGGGGCTGGGGAGCAGTGACGCAAGACTACATATCTGCATAAGGCCTAGTGGAGTGGACAGAGACCCCATGGGCAGAATGCAGCTGGAGAGGAAGTGGCTCTCAGTGCCACATCTGGAGAGCCGGGGACAGCAGCGTGGCCCCATCATGGGACGCTGAGCAGGCACCTGGGGGAGGAGACGTACTTCCAACAACTCTGAGGCTTGTGAAGCTTGCGGGCCTCTAGCTCAGGGCTGGGCCCCTTTTTTTTCAGTAGGCTACATAGCGCCCACTGCTATTACCCCATGGGTCCTTCCACTCTGAGGCAGGGGCTGGCGCTGCTAAAAAAAAAAAAAGTGCCCAGTCCATCTTACAAGTGAGGAAAGTGAGTCAAAGAAAAGAAAGGATTGCCATGGGTGGCTCAGGGGGGCTGAGATTAGGGTCCATGTTCTCTTGGCCACAAACCAGGTGTGTAAGCTTGGACCACACCTGCTTCTGTCTCTGGCCCTGTGTTCGCCACACATAAGCTCCCAGCTCTCAGCTGCTGATCCCAGCACACCGGCTTGGAGGTCCGGTTCCGGTTAGGACCCTGGTGATGGCCTCCCCAGTACCTCACATGGAGAAGAACCACAGGAACCAGCCATGTGTAGAATGATGAGACGTAATAAAGCAGGGTTTATTTAAAGCCAGCTAACGTGGAGGCGGTCTCTTACACGGCGCTCTCGATACAAAACCAGCATCCAGCGGCAGAGTTCTTGTTGAATTGCCTGCTGTGAGCCCAGCACTGGAGGAGGCTCGCGGGTTAGGGACCAGTTTCACAGCCCGCTGGAGCCCTGTAACTCCCCTGCAGCCTGAGCTCAGCCTGGGCTAGACCAGAAACAGCCCCCTGAGCGAGGACGATGCTCTCGTAGGTGGGTGGGGGTGAGAGGGATGGCGACCCCAGCAGGGCATCCTCTGGGCCGTGGCACTGAAGGTCTTCTTCCGGCTGCACGGGGGTTTGCAGGGGACCCTCAGCCAGTGGACAGTACATAGCCTCCTCGTAAGTGGGAATGGCAGCAAACTCTTTGGGAGGCCTACGGGAACAGGAAAGAGGCTGTTAGCAGGAGCAGCTCAAAACTCTCCTGCATGCTAGAGAGACAGAGGAGGCCACGAGGCCATGGCTTCTTAGGACACTTGCTTGCTCGCAGGAGCAGGCCGCCAACGTCAGCTCTCCATCCTCCTCATACTGCCTTTGCTCGCTTCCCACACTCTTTGCTGCCACCACTCCCCACTTTGACACATCCCTGGGACCTTTTTTTTGGCCTGTCCCCACTTCTTTTTCCCCACTGAGCTTCCATGCCTGACACTCCTTGGTTGTCTCTTATGGCAGAGATTGACTTGAGTGTCTAAACACTAAAAACAGGTGCTCTGGGGGATGTTTGTTGAGAGACTGAGTGATGGCTCATGGACAGAAAGACTCCTAGCTGCCTGGAAAATTGTTTGTAAAGCTACAGTTGTGATGTTCAGGGCAGAATGTGAGGGTGGCCTCAATTTACCTGCACATCGGGATGCTTGAGACTTTACGTGTCGAGGTCACAGGGTAATTGCTTCTCCTTGCCCACCTCCAGGGAGAGAGGGCTCTCTACTTACCAAGTCAATCCTTCACTCTACACTGGTGCTCAGCCCTGACTCTCCTGCCCCCCACCCTTCACACCTAAGCAACAGAACACCTAAAGGGGTGTGAGGCAAAGACCGAATCCTCAGTAGACCCTCCTGATCAGGCTTTGCAGGCTACATTAAAGGACAGATGTCCTGCATCTGAGCCCATAGGGGCCCTGTCCCCATCCCAGGTCCCTGGGTTCGCTGCCACTCCCACAGCAAACCACCAGGAGGCAGGCTCAGCCTCCCTGTCACAGAGCAGCTCTGTAGGCCCTGGATTTTGAACTAAGCATGGGTGGGAGGAGAGGGCTGCAGACCTACCCAGAGACCTGCAGCTGAGAACTAACCAGTGCTCACCTTCCTCTGAGCTCCCAGCAGGCTTTGCAAGGAAGGGCAACAATCCTGCCAAGCCTGGTGATACACGCGTATCATCTCAGTATTCTAGAGCCAGAGGCAGCAGGATTTGTGTTTGAAGCCAGCTTAGGCTACATAGCAAGTTCAACGCCAGCTAGGGCTACCTAGTAAGACCTTGTCTCAACAAATCAGAAAAGAAGAAAGAAAAAGAGGAGCCAGGTACTGAGAATCGAAGTTTCTGGGGGGACAGGCCACTGGATTTTATTGTTTTGCAGCCTGGTTTCTATTCTCACATTCTCTGGGCCTCTTCTTCCTCATCTGTTAAATGGGGATAATGCCTGCCATGCCACAGATGCAGAAGAAGAAAAGCAGAAAAAACGTTAACAGCCACGAGGGGAATGTGGGTGTCAGGGCTCCCAAGACCCTCCTCTCCCTTCATGTCTACCTCCCAGCCATGCCCTGCCCTCCCCAGATTATCTGAGCTGGTTCTGGGTCTGCTTGGGGCCATCCCAGCAGGTGGCATCCAGCATGCCAGGGCTCAGGTACCCACAGGAGCTCAGCCCACAGCAGGAAGCTTGCTCAGAGGGCAGCTATGCAATAGCCCTCAAGCCAGCTCCTGTCACCTCAGTAGCCTGCCTGCTGGCTCATCAAACTGCACCGTCCGAGGTCATAGTCCAGAATACAAGAATGCAGGGAACTTGGACCTTTGCAAGGCCCTTCCTAATGTGTAGGAGGTTCCGAGTACATTTTGGACACAGAGCTCTGTGTGTGTGTGTGTGTGTGTATGTGTGTGTGTGTGTGTGTGTGTGTGTGTGTGTGTGTGTGTGTGGGGGGGGGGGAGTTCATGCACAGAGACCAAAATAGCCTTGTAGGGGCAAGAGACAGGTTCCATGCTGACCCTATTGGCTTTCTGTTGAGAGAGCAAACCCAGTAGGGTAGGAGTAAGCCCCACCCATCTCACAGAAGAATGAGTTAAGGGCTAAGTAGACAGCCCTCTCCTCTAATGGTGGAGCTCATGCTACCCCACACTGCACACCTCCCCACAGCGTGTCAACTACTCCCTCACAGCCCACTTTTGTAAAACAAGCCTAATGCCTACACCAGCCCTGTGAGCAGCCAAGCCTGTTAAAGACCAAGACTGTGATGAGGAACCGCAGGGGAAGCTAAGGGCGCAGGCGTCGTGGCTTGCACATTCACCATAGCCATCTCACAGGAGCCCAGCGGCGCTGAGCAAAAGCGGGACATGACGGTGGGCTTTCTATGTCAACCTGGCAAGGTCTAGAATAACTAGGAGACAAACCTCTGGGCACATCTGTGGAAAAGTTTCTAAACTAAGTTAATGAAGGCGAGGAGAACCCGGTGTGAGGCCATCATCCCCCGGGCTGAGGTCCTGGACTGGATGGCATGAACTGAGTGAGAGGCACAGTGTCATCCATCTCTCTCTACTTCCTGAATATGGACATATGACCTCACATTCCTGCCACCATGCCCCCCCCCAATAGACCCTCCGACTGTGAGCCCAAATAAGCCCTTCCTTGGGACTTTTTTGGGGGAGGGGTGGTATCTTGTCAGAGCAGTGAGCAACTGATATGGAAGGCCTGCCCTTCCTCTTGCCTCAACTGACAGATGAGGCATCAGGTGTGACTTGGGACACTCAGCTTCTAATAGGGAGGGCAGTGACAGAAAGCTGGCCTTCGGAGGAGGCCTGGCACTGTCTGCTGTGCTCCCTGAAGGACAACAGGGCCCTCTGCTCCTGCCGCCTCCAATTGTCAGGGCTGACAATTGCCAGGCGAGCTCCTAGAGTGGGCTTTTGTCTATCTTGTCCCTGATGTATTATCAGTATTCGGAATTGGACCCGCCACATGGTAGGTGCGTAGTCAGAGTTAGAGAGATGCAATAGAGAGTCGGTGGCTAAAAGGGGAGAACTGAGGCCTGACAGGGAAAGAGGAATGCTTAAGCCAATAGATGAGAAGCCGGTTCCAGCTGCAACCAGGCAACCCTAGGCCCTGAGGTGCGCACACACACACACACACACACACACACACACACACACACACACACACACCTGTGGAAAGATCAGTCAAGCAGGCGGCTCCCTTCATACCCAGTCACACCAGTTTCTGAAGCTGAAACTTGGGTCTCTGACCTGGAAGGGTCCCCTTCCTGCTTCCTGGCAAGGGGAGGTATCCTGCCTAATGGGCTGAGGATGGAGGAGCCTACCTAACCCACAGCTGAGGGAGGCCTGGGCCCTGTTGAGGAAACACCGCTCTGTGTACAGACAACAGTAACACCTCGGCGCTCAGGCCAGGCTGGGCAGGGCAGGACAGCAGGCTGGCCTGGCTGTCAGTCCAATTCATCTCATGAGCAGGTAGGTCACTCTCTCTGAGACAAGTTTCTCATCTGAGAAGAGCAAAGTTCGATTGGATAACGTGCCCTTTCCTCTGATGGTCCTTAAAACCAAGGTCCGGCTCCGTAGTCTAGGCTAGCCTGGAACTCAATTGTTCCAGCCTTCCAAGTGCTGGTTTACAGATGTACCCCACCACGTCCCACTCAAGGTCTGGCTATTGGCCTACGTACTCTCTCTGTTAAATGTTATAGCTGGCCTCAAGGAGCCATGGGCTGATAGCAAGACACTCCAGACAAAGGGAAGAGAGGTGCAGGTAGGTGCCCAATCACAGGAGCGGAGGTTAGCCCCTCCTGAGACAATGCCAGTAATTATGGAGCAGTGTCGGGGAGGGCCACAGTCTTTGCAGACTGCAGACTCACACCACAGTGGGCTGCATGTAACAGAAGAGGCTTTCCTCTTGTGCAAAGAGCAACAGTGGATTCCGGCGGCATAAAGGTACAAGCAGACCCAGGGCGGAAAAGGCACGCAGGCTCCAGACCCGCCGGATGCTTTGTTGAATAACCATGTACCCAGTAAGAACACACATGACCTAGCTTCCTTACAGGGCAAAACTGGTCCCCACATGTAAAACACAAATGTACACGCACAGGGTGCCCAGACCACGGCATGTCTCTGGGGATCAGACTCCAAGAAGACGTGCTGAAAGGCTGGGTGAGGTGATGATGGATGTATGGCTGGAATCCCAGCCCTTGGGACAGGAGGATGACACGTTTCAGGCCAGATTGGCTTACAAAGACTCTGTCTACAAAGGGGAAGGAAGTGAGGGAAAAAAAAAATGGTCAAAAGGCTAGGGAATATTGGCAATGAAAAAAAAAAAAACCAGATTGAGAACTGTTTTGATGCAACCATTGGCTTCTGCCTTCACCCAACCTTCACCCCATGCTCACCTACAACCACCTTTGTAGGTCAGGGAAAGTTGCCACTTCCAACACGCCTACTGTGTGCTGGGCACTGGACTGAGCTGTGCTCTCACGTCAGCTCCCTTATCGTCTCGGATGTCTCCTGAGGCAGGGAGTTATGGGGAGCAACAGGTTCCCCGCAGTGCGGTTGGAGGTTGGGTCCCTGTTCTGGATATCTTTAGGCAAGTTACCTAAGGTCTCTGTGCCTGGTTTCCTCCTCCACAAATGGAGATGTCCTGGCTACCTCCCCAGGGGCATGCAAAGGCACTCAGTACCTGGCCCTGCCCAATGCCCTCTTGTGCCTCAGGGACCCTTCCTATGTTGGGATCTTGACTCCTCTGCTTCTCTGCTGACTGAGCTTGAATGCTGCCTCCTCCTGTAAGGCTTCCCAGATTTCTCTACATCTCCACAGGACTCTGTCTGCCCATTCACATAGCTCTCACTACTCTGATTTTTCATTTGCCTCTGCCATGGGGCTTCCATAGCCTCGGGATACAGGGCAAGGCCTTGTCCAGCGGAGGAACCTCGTGAGAATTTGCTGAGCAGATAGTGGGTAGCGTGACTATGGTGGCTCACCCAAGGTCCCCACCCTGCCCCCACTGACCTGCAGCCCTCCTTCTCAGAGGACTCTACGGCGAGGTGGTACAGGTCTCTGGAGAGTTGGTACAGGTCCCCCTGGCTCGACCTCTTTGTACTTTCCTGGATGGACCAAAGCAGGCCAAAGAGCAGAAGCATGCCGCCCAAGCCACAGCACAAAAAGCTGACAGACCTGAGCCAAGTCTCGGGCCCCTTGGGCATCGGCTGCTCCACCGTGGGGCCCAGGGAGCCAGGCCGGACAGCTGCATCCTCTTCGCTCCACCATGCAAAGCAGACTGTCCCCACCACCAGGACCACTGTGCCACTGACTGTCACGCAGTAACGCGCGGCGGAGGCCCCTCGTCCGCTGAGGCATGTCTGCACACAGAAGGAGAGAGAATCTGAAGGACTGGGCTGGCCAAATGTACCAAGAGCTCAGAGAACTCTTACCTGTGAAATGAAGAGGAAGCCCACTCAGGGCTACTCCGATGGTCTCAGAAAGGCTCCTTTGGGTTCCTAGCACCATACCTGGGATTACAGTAGGAGCTTAATAAGACAATAATATATATGCCGCATTCATTCTGGGCCTTTGTGGAGGCCCCAGAGGCCTTGGCCTGATGGGTAAATGGTGCCTATGGTGGCCAGTTTATGAGCAGCTGAGAGAGGCCAGGGCTTGTCTTCTGTCTTATGGCCGTCTTACGTCTCTCCTCCCCTAGCCCCCATCTCTTGAGATCCAGCTCTTGTCTCTTATTTAGCTGAAGATGAAGGGGCATGGGAATCAGGACAAGAGTGAATGGCGGCCCTGGAATTGTGAGGTCGAATGTGACGCCGTAGAGCAGGGCTTTTTCAGGACAGCTACACAGCCGTGTTCAGCACACCTGTGGCACTGAAAGAGCCTCCAGTCCCGACCCTAACCCAACAGTGCATGAACTGCGTCATGACCACTAGATGAAAGAATATAAATTCATTAAAAAAAGTTGAGTTCAGCGCTAGAGGGATGGCTCAAGGGTTAAGAGCACAGGCTGCTCTTCCAAACAGTGTGGGTTCGGTTCCCAGCACCCACATGGCAACTCACTCCTGCCTCCAACTCCAATTTCAGGGGATCTGATGTCCTCTTCTGGCCTCTGTAAGGACGGCATATACATATGTACATGCCTACATGCAGGCAGAATACCCACACATTTCCTTTTTTCTTTGAGACAAGGTTTCTCTGTGTAGCCCTGGCTGTCCTGGAACTCACTCTGTAGGCCAGGCTGGCCTAGAACTCACAGAAATCCTCCTTCCTCTGTCTTCCCAGTGCTGGGATTAAAGGCCTGTGCCACCTCCACCTGGCCTACCCACGCATTTTTTTTAAAGATTTATTTTAAGTTGAGCTCAGCATGAATGTTTGTCAGAAGGGGAATACAATAATATATATGCCATGTTTTGCTCTTTTGAACTCGTATGAATTACGGGAAGAGGGAGGACTTAGCAAAATTGTTGCTCGGGGAAACTTCAGGAAGCAAGCCTGGCCTCTGATCCTACAGACCAGAAGAGGCGTGTACTGGTCCCCAAAGCTCGCCTCTAAGCTACTGCCCCTACTGCTCCCGCTGACATGCCATTACCTCCCTGCAGAACTCAGCTTGGCCCTTTCTTGGGAACCTTCTGAAGACCTCAGGGCCTTTTAGGAACACACCATTAGCCTGTCCACTCCTTGGCTTATCCTCTAACTAAGACCGAGTTCCCTGGACCACTGAGTCACGAGCTACATGTAGAGATGCCGTGAAATGCAGCTCTTTGTTGGGAATTAGCATTTGGGAAAGTTCATCCTGTCTCCAATCAAGGCAAGGCCGTGAAAGGTGACAGACCCATTCCAAATACGGCTGGAGTACCTACTGGGGTGGGGTAGGGTGGGGGTCAGGCAGGAAGCTCTCCAGCCCCAGAGAAATTCCACCCCATCCTGGCGCTCAGTCAGGGCCTGCCAAGCTGGCTCCACCTCCAGTGCTCTGCCAGCCTCCCCTTGTCCCTACCTGGGTCCCCACTTCACCCTGTTCAAAAAGGAAACCAACGTCCCCCCTTGCAGTGGTTGTGCCCACCTCCCTACAGCCAGGGGAGGCCTCTCCCATCAGGAGGCTTTGTCCATAGCACCCTCCCTGTGGCCAATCTGTTAACTCCGGGGCCTTGATTGACCAGGCTCCTGACACCCACGTTTTTGAGTTCACATCCTGGCTCTCAGGGTTAAGAGGTCTCGGAGTTGAGTTCAGCCAAGTGTACCCCACACCTCCTAAGTTCACAGAGCTGGTGAGAGGGGTGGCCCTACTCAGACACCACCAAGTCGCCTAAGTGTGTCCCTTGCCCCTCTGTAATGAGCACTCCACCACATCAGGAGGGAAGTGAACCGGGAAAGTGCCGGGTCTCTTGCTCCAGCTGTCTACTATAAGGGGGTCAGCTCAAATCAGGGAGAAGAAAGCGCTGTTGCCATCAGGAGGGAGCTGTGCACAGCGATGGAGAAAAGCCTGCGGCTGCTCCCTGCTCCTGCCCCCCCATGACATCACAAGATCACCATAGGCACTTGTTTCTGTAAAAAAAGTAACCATCCGAGCAAGAGGAGCCTGCCTACGCCCACGAACTGTGGAGAGACTGGCTCCTGGCATTAGGGCGCAGGTTAAAAGATGGGCCACACCCTTAGCAGGAGTTGAGGTGCTCGATAGGGAGGGAGGAAGACAGGATGTTAGCACCCACCTCGCTTGCAGCCATCAGGCTAGGCCAGGCACAACAGGACCGGTCCAGGGGAGAGCCCCGCGCATTAGAAGGCGTGGAGGCTGAGCTCTGCAGACAGCCGGCATCTGAGGAAGCTCTGGTAGCTGTCCTCAGCTGCGCCCTTTGCACTTCACCAGCTCCTCGACGGTCCCTGTTCTGGTCCCCAGTAAGGTCGAGGCCAGCCTGCGCAAAAGTTAGGTCCTTTTCTCCCTATAACCCGGGCCAGCAGCTGGGAAGCCTACTGGGAAGCTACCTTCCCGCTGTCTCTTGGTCCTTGGATCCTCACTCACTACCTCAAGGACTCTTGTGGCCTGCTTCAATGCTTCCTTGTAGGTTTCAGGTGCCAGGCCAGTTTCCAACAGGCCCCGCCCAACCTTAAAGGGATAGTCTATGGACCGGGTAGGGGTGGAGGGGGTGCAATTTCCCAGAGAGGTGGAGACTGCACAGATGAAAGTTGGGCCTGGAAACTCATTTCCCAGAGATGTTCAGGGGAGGGGCTGTGGAAGGCCTGAGCCAGGACCCCCTCACACCTGTTTCGCAGGGAAGGAGAACTGGAGCTCAGGAGGGAAAGCCATTTATCCAATTGTTCCCTCCACATCCTACTTTGACAGGATCGGCTTTGTCACAGGGGCCGGAGAACAGCCTCCCCAACTCTCACCTACTCTCTTCACATTCCAGGACAGCATTGTCAGTCAGAGCACCAGCTTGGGGTGCTCTATCAGGGGAGAGGGGGTGCCTCTGCCTTCTGAGAGGGTCTGCAGCACTGACTTTCCCCCTTCCTGCATCACCTGCTTGGAGTGTTAAGTCACTGAGGGTAGGCGCCTGGGGGCCCAGAGGAAGGGTTAGCTCAGGCTGTTTCCCACGGCTATGGGAGGTCACGTCTTTGAAGGGTGGCAGTGGGCTATATCATGCCACGAAAGGAGCAGCGTGTGCAAAGCTGGACCGAGGCGTAGGAAACTTGTGTCTGTGGAAAGATTCCACGCAGAGTCCTTTGAGCACCAATTCCTCCCTCTGGTGAGGCCCTCTGCGCAGTGTCTGTTCTCTTCCTCAAGGTGTGTGGTAGCCATTTAACAGCAGAAGACATGCCTGTAAGAAGGCTGAGAAGCTGAGAGGCTGAAGGGAGACAGAGGCCACTGACTTTATCCCATCAAGACAGCCTGCCTGTGACTAGAGGCTGCCAGCCGCCGTTTGCTGCTGAGCCTCGGGGAGATATGGGTGGGAGGTAGGAGGCCATGGCACTTTGGGCCCTTTCATTTGAGCTGTGCAGGCGCCCATACAGGGTGTGTCTCCTCCCTGCCTGTTATCCCCAGGTGAGTCACTGCATGGTAAGGTTGAGGTCCAGCCTGGTCCCCGTTTGGACCTGAGTCTGCTTAGAAAATCAAGACCAGAGCTGGAAAGTCATGGTTCCTGTCCCTAGCCATTTGCAGGCTAACCTGTGGAGCCCTCCCCAAGGACAGGGACCAAGTACCATGAGGCTTGGCATTCAGCCAGACACCCTACCCCAGGGACTCAGGGGAAATGGAACTGAGTACATTTGGAATACGAGGTTCTGGGCCAGCTCTGTCTTCGTCTTCTTCCCTCCTACCCCTTCCAAAAGCTGGGAAAGCCTGGGCCAGCCATGATTCCCAGGCATGGTGCTGACTGTACCTGCACATCCTCTTTGGACAAAGTAGCCTCAGGCTTTCCTGGAATGAGGAGACTGACTGGGAGGAGAGCAATGGTCTGCATCAAGGGCACAGGGAAGGGCTGCGCTTGTGCCTACTCGTTATCTGTTTCCTGGGCAAGTGCTTTTCCCCTGCGAATCTTGGAGGCACCATGAGAAGTGCTTGGCCCAAGGTTTAGTGGGGATTAAAGAGAGGAGGGGCTAAAGCGCACATCCTTGGGGTCTTCCAGACTTTTCCATCATCCATCTTTCCTACATTGCCTTCTCTGCCCCCCCTGCTTGTCTGGCTCTTCCTTGCCTGCCCCTCACACTGCACCAGCCTCCACTTCACGCCAGCCTCCAGTCAGCCCCTCGCTTGTGTAGACTTGCCATCCCAGGAGCCAGCCCAGCTGCTAAGCATCCGTGTTCTCGTGACCAAGACCCCGGCCACCTCCCAGCCTCACCTCCTCGCTCCCATGTCACTCCCAAGCTCTTCATGCCAAGGTACAGTGCCACAGCATGGCCACAAAGATTGAGCTATACCAGCTGGCCATTGAGCCACAGGGACCCTCTTGTCGCCAGCCGCCCAACACTGCAATTACAAGCCTTGCCATGCTCAGCCTTATGCTCGGGTGCTGGGAAGTAGACGCTCCTCGTGCTTGAAAGTACTTTACCTCCTGAACCATTGCCTCAGGGCCTGCGTGAGGCTTTGATTTAACACTGTTGTCTTTAATTTTTTCTTTCTTCTTCTTTCATGTGCACTGGAGTTTTGCTTCCATGTATGAGGGTGTTGGATCCTCTGGAACTGGCATTATTGACAGTTGTGAGCTACCATGTGGGTGCTGGGAATTGAACCCAGGTCCTCTGGAAGAGTAGTCGGTGCTCTTAACCACTGAACCACCCCTCCATGGTGTTTAGAATAACACTATTCTAAACCGTGTGTGTGTGTGTGTGTGTGTGTGTGTGTGTTCTAATTCTTTGCTCACATGTTTGCCCTTCCCCCACTGTCAGCATCTCAAAGGCAGGCCTGGATATCTTGTGCCTTGTCCTATGACATTTCAGAGCGTCCCGCATTAGTGCTGTGAGATCTACTATAAGCTGGGCGATGGTGAGTGCACTCTGTTTCCTACCAACATCCAGCAGTGCAGGGAAAGCCATTCAAGTTCAGGGATGTCTTCAAAAAATGGGATTCTGAGATCTGGCTTCAGCTAAGAAATGACTCAAAGCAGTTGTCAGCCTGAGGACGCTCGCTCACCCACTCCTGCCCTCCCAAGGGACATTTGACAGCGTGTAGAAACATCGTTAGTTAGTCTAGCTCTGGTGATAATGGGGTTGCATCTAGTAGCAACCTATGGGGCCCAGGACACTCTACAGAGGTTCCCACAGTCGGGAGGAGGAGAGTTCAGCTCTCCGTGAGGTTCTGGAGGTCCAAAGGTTCCAGCCCACATCCCGAAGAGAGGTTCTGATACTTCTCCCGAGGAGAGAAGGAGTAGGCCTGTCAGCACTGTGGGGGATGGAGTTACCGCTCTAAGCAGCAGACTAGAACGTTCCCTTCCTAGGGACCTCCGTGTAAGACAATCCAGGATTCTCAGCTTCAACACAGAAAAGAATTTCAGGCTCTTCCCTTCCCTCTGCCCCTCCCTGCTCCTGAACCTGTAGGCTCCGCCTGAGAGCGGCAGGCGGGACGAATCCACCCCTACCCCGCCGCCCAGGGCCTGTGGCCCAGTCCTTGGCGGTAGCGACATGCGGCTCCTGTTCCTGGCGGTGCTGCGGGGCCTCACACCGGCAACGCAGTCACGGCTGGGCGCATTCGGGACCACCTGGAAGCTGCAGGCCACATGTGTGTTCTCAGAGATGCCTTTGACTTTGAGAGCCCATCTGAAATTGCCAACCTCATCACAGCCAAGAACTTGGAAGCAGCGCTAGCCCTTCATCTCTACCGAGGAGGCAGACTTCTGCAAGGTCATGGCATTCCTTTTGGGGTCATCTTTGGTGGAACTGATTTAAATGAAGATGCCAGTGACAAAGAAAAAAATAAAGTCATGGGGAAAGTTCTGGAGGAAGCCAGGTTTGCCGTGGCTTTCACGGAGGTGATGAAGGACGAAGCACAGGTGCAGTGGGTATGTGTTCTTCTGCTGTCATTTCAGTGGGCCTTGGGGACAGGGAAGAAGTCTCAGACCACGGCAGTCTGGCACAGCTGTGCGCTGCATTTCTCCAGTGTGGATACCCTACAAAGTTCAGTGATGCTTAAAAAAAATTTTTTAATCAATTCTTTGAGAATTTTATACAATGTAAAACTTTTTTAAATAATAATAAAAAAAACAAGTGTAAAAAAAAAAAAAAGAATTTCAGGACCAGCTAATATAAAACAGGGTTAGAATTTTTTAGATGTCTTTAACGCAGATCTTAAGCACAGGAGTTCATAGACTGGGAGATGCTCAGAGAAAGAGCAAGACATTCTTAAGTGTGAGCAGAGGCCTCTCCAGGTAGCAACTGTCTTTATGATGGTTGCATAAACTTCCCCATGGCTTCCTAAGTTACCCTGCTCAGAGGGCATCATTATAACACAGTTTAAAGGTTAATAAAATTTCCTTTATGAACGAAGTTGTAAAGTGAACTTAGGAGCAGTGTCCAGATTCAGAAATGAGATTGGAGTGATGAAAACCTGTCAAGGCTGTAGATGGTGTGGCCACAAGCAAGCAGAGTTTGTTTGCTGCATCTGACACCTAGGGCTGAGTTATCTTTGGGAAAGGACTGCATTGTTTCCATAGGCAACAAGTTTTCTCAGTGGCATCCGAAGCCTCCTGACTCCATCAGCAGATCCTAGGATGAAGGTCCTATTTTCTGTCTCATGTCACCATAATTTTTCCTGCTTTTTCCTCAGACTCTAGGCATAGCCAGCACAAGCCTTTACCACGCGAGTTAGTTTTTGATCCTGGGGTTTTTATGTTAGCTTTTCCTCAGAGAAAAGAATTGGGTAGCAGGAGGGCAGAGGAACATGCCGAAAGCCATTGTCCTGCTTTGACTGGGGACTCAGAAAAGGACGGGGAGTTGCCCAAAGTCGCTGAGGCCCTTTCAGCACATCCTGGACCCAGATTCAGGGCTTGGAGTCCAGAGCTCTTCCTGCCAGCCTCTGAGTCATTCTATACAGTCGCTCATATCTAGGGCCAGCGGTGAGGCACCTAGAAGGGTGGAGAAACTGTAGCTACAAATCATATCTAACTAAAGACTGACCTGCCTCCTCCCTCTCTCTCTTTTCCTCCCTCCCTTCCTTTTTCAGTGCTGTGCTGGCGATCAAGCCCAGGGCTTCTTGGACACTAGGCAGCCATTGTAGTACCAAGCTACAACACCCCAGTCCCCAGTGTTGTTGTTCCTGAAAACAAGTACCCTGTGATTCTGGGAAAATGCCTTATAAACCAAGAATAAGCCATCTCTCTGCTGAATGAGTCTTCCACCATATGAAGTAAATTATCACAAAGGTATCTGCTTTAAATAACATTTATTTTTATAATCTCCTAGGAACTAGGTCAGATGGCCAGGTGGGTTCAACAAGGTTCTTGGCTCAAGAGCTCCCAAGGACAAAACCAAGGTGTTGCTTTATCTGGGGGCTGAAAAGGAATCCACTTGCAAGCCCTTTTAAGGTGCTGGCTGAGCCGAGGTCCTTGTAATGGATGAACTACAGGCTTGCTTTTGTTT